GGGGGGGGTCCAATCCTGCCCTTAGGACAAGCTCTTCCTGCCAGAAGGGAGGATACAAGTGAACCCATGCAACCAACATTGCAATTTTTACTTGCTGACCATGTGTTTCTGAGCTTTCTCAGAGCTCTCCTGGTCCTTAAGATGCCTCCCAGGACAGGTCCCCCCCACTAGTGTGGCCACCACGCTGTGAGTACGGGGGGGTGGTCTTCCTGGCGGAGTCCCCAGACCCCTCGCAGCCTCCCTCTGGCATTTGCTGGGGCTGCTCTGCCTCGTCGCCTCATGGAAAGCTGAACGTGGCGCATCAGTAAAGCTCAGCTCAGCTTCTGAACTGACGAGGTCAAGCAGCAGGTAATAAGGACGAACAGGGAGCGATCAACTCAGCAGCAAGGAAGTGGCAAGAGCCAAGGCCGTTAAAAAAATCCAGTTAAAAAAGGACTTAAAAAAAAAAAAAAAAGAATCTGCTGTTTGTTAGCAAAAATGGTCTGAGGCACAACCTTGAGAGCAGAGACTGGATCCAAGTTTCGAGGGCCTGCTCCCTTTTCCCAACCTGGCAGGGGCAACCACAGCTTGTGCTGGCCACAGCCTGCCTCTCTGCAACAAGCAGTACGCCTCGCTTCAGCAGCTGCTCCCTGGCTCTTCTGGCCCTGCTGATGAGGTCCCAGCGCATCACCAGGGACCAGTGCAGCATTGCTGTGGCGGCACAAAATGATCCAACTGGCCAATCTGAATCCCACGCGGGCTAATTGTTTTCTGGAGCCACATTGTGCTGGGACTGAAGGGCCTGCTCCTTTTCTCTTCCAGCTTTACAGGGACGCTCTCAGCAAGTTCAAGGTGGGGGGAAGGATCAGGCTCAAAATATTTTTGATTCGTTAAAAACACTCTGACATTGTTTGGAAAATCCTACAGTCAGAATATTGAAAATGCCAAGTAACTGATCCGGATCACAGAAAAATCAATCAATCATCATTGCTCACTCTTAATACACACATTTCTAGGGAGAAGTAGTGCTAATTCTTTTTTTCCAGTGACTGGTAGTACTCAGTTAGGACTTTCCAAGCTTTAGGGGCCATGAAGCCGTCTGGTGGATTTTCACCTTCCCGAGCAAGTTTTCTCATGCGTGTTCCGGAGATGAAGTCAAATTCGTCGTGCCTAAGGCAAAACAGAGACAGGGATGAAATCAGTGCAATCTGCCTCACGCGTACCAAACCGAGTCTTTGCAAATGCAGCTCTTCTGCCATGCCAAGAATGCAGTCTGAAAACTCCTGGCACCATTTCAGCGTTAACTCTGCAGGCACTAGCGGCACCAGTCTGCGACTTCACGGGTGAATTTATGATCGGCATAAAGCAGCAAAGGGATCCTCAAAAGGAGCTGCTCTTTCGAGAGGAGCTGGATCATACATAAAACGCTTCAGCAGCGAGAGGCTGTATTTCTACTGCCACTTATTCCCCAAAGAGTGTTTCTTATCCTTTCTGTTGGCTAAGACAGCATATCTTTAGTGCCATGTGCTCAATCCTTTATCTGGTGCCAAGTCTTGGAAGGGAAAGTGGATGGATTTCACAGATAAGACTTCTTCTCTCATTTCTCTCACAGCCATTTTACCAGGAATACTGATTTTCCCTTTCCTCAGGTAAGCTGCAAGTCAGAAGCAATCTTAAACCAACGGCACTGCGTAGGAGAAAAGAAAAAAAAAGACGCTGCTGTCTGGGTTACCTTTGTGGGTCATAAAAATCCATAGCCTTTTTTACTTTATTGTAAGCAGCAACCCGGAAGGGAATGATTTCCACAGAAGTCAGGCCTGGTGCCATGCTGAGGACCTTCCCTCCTTGCGTGGGCTCGTAGAGGTCTTTCTTGGTCTCCGGGTGAGGCATGCCTGCAGGATCTCGCCCCACTATGTAGAAGTTAGCCCCAGCAATCATGCGAGCCCGACAGTGCCACTGCACCTGTGGAGGAGAGACACAAAGACTTCTGTTCATGTGCTGAGCAATAGTAAATCCACCTGTCATTGACTACAAGAGAGATCCTGGCAAACTCAGCACTCTCAGGTACAGGAGGGAAGGAAGGAAGGACGCTTTCCAGCAGCCTCTCGGCAGTTTCTCTTTAGTGATGAGACTGCCCAGACTCCTTTTCCACTGCTTGGACCTTGTGTAATGTTGTAGTTCTGCTAAGGACACGTATTGCAGTGGAAACACTGGGGAAGGGAACCGATCTTGTTCCATTTCTGCAGTGAACTGAGGCAGTGATTTGCTCTCTCTGTCTTTGAACACACAAAGACTGTGCCTATCAGCCATCAAACCCCACTTGTGCAAAGGCAGGGTAAAACTGCCCACGCAGCCCTCTTTTCGTCTACAACAAAGGATCTGTCTGATGCATCTCTACTTGCATCCGTGGCCTCTGCTCAGCTCCACGCCCGGCTCCTTTTATTTGCTGCTTGCGCTGCTTGCGCTGTGGTCAAACAGAAATGTAGACAGTCCGTCTGAGGCAAATAATTCAGTTTACGACATCTCCCGCTCCACGCCTCTGAGATGCTATGAGAATAACACTAACACCCAGAGAATGGCTATTTAAGATAGCTAACTCCACGCTAGCTCATCTCCTTAGATCACTTGTTGCTGAAGGGACGTAACATAGCATTGAGTTTTTAATCAGTCAGTGAATAGCTGCAGCGAAACGAACTGCCAGTGATGGGCTTGGGCTGCCTGCAAGGGAGGTTCTGAGTCAACTGCTTTGGTCCCACCAATTTAGGGACAGAAGGGAAACCATTGGGAATAACCAAACTGATGAGCATCCCTGCCCAGCAGAGCATAGGGTCAAAGCGGTAAAAAAACCTGTTTCCAGTCCCCTTGTCCCCGGCTCCGGGCACAGCTTGCAGAAGCAGTTCAGCTCGCTGAGCTGAGGTCTGCTGGTAGACGGCTGCTGAATGAATCATGGAGGGAACTAACAGCGGGCAACGACTAGCGGCTCCCTGGCCTGTTGCTTTCCGGAGCTGTCCTGGGAACCTGGCAGAGGTCCTCCCTGCAGACTGAGTTCACTCCTTGCAAGCAGGAAGGTTTAAGAAGTGCCATCACACGGTGAGCAGCCAGCCGCTACATTACCTCTGTGGGACCAGCGTAGAGCATGGGAGAGGGGAAGATAGCAACGATGGTCGACTTGGGGTCCAGAACGCGCTCCTCTAGCACCGCCGCATGCTGCTTCATCCGCCACTCCAGTGGGACGTCATCATCTTTGGTCCAGCCCCCCAAGGGGTGTAGGAGAAGCACGGGGTTTTTATAACCCCTCTCCAAAAGCCGACGCCGCGTGTCCTGCATGAGCAGGGCATGCCCGTTGTGCACGGGGTTACGTAGCTGAAATGCAAAGACAGCATCTAAAAAGGAAAGATGCAGAAGGTCACAGGCTTGCCCAGGAGTTCAGAGGCTGCCCTAAACAACAGTAGCTTTACACATCATGTACATTTTGACATTTCCATATGACAGCAGATGCCTTGCGTATCTTATCTTCACATGAAAGACACCTTAAATACCTTAAATGAGCGTCTGCCATATGTGCAATGTCTATTAATCACTCTGCAAAGTTTATTTCCGTTGCAGAGCTCTCCTTTGGGGCCGACTGCAGTCCCATCAGCTCTCCTACAGACGATGATGTTCTTCAGATGTCACTGAGAACAATTTTAAACCCGCATCGAGTTCCCTGACTTCTGAAGTGATCTGTGACTTCTCCAAGTTGAATGACATCTTCAGGAAGGCCAAAGCTTTTTCCCACTTTGAGCACTGAGATGAAATGACTGTGAAATGAAAGGGCTGAAAGGGCTAGCATCTTTGCTGCAGGCAGGTTTTCCGGGTAAGTAACGAGGTGGAGCTCCCATCCAAGAACCCTGCTCCTTAGCCAAAATGGTATCCTGCGGTGAGAAGTTCCCATCTTCCACGGGGGAGATGGTATAAGCCCAGGCAGAGGCTAAAAGACACTCCGTGCAGATCTGGCCACTCTGAGAGTGTGGGGAAGAACAGGGAAGTTACCTGAATTGCCAAAGCTGTTTCAGAATTCCTTTGAAACTGCTCAGGAAACGTTACAGATTTTTTATGAGCCCAGGCTGAGCCGTCTGAGTCATGTGGGTCATCAAAATAAGTGAGCTAAGTGCACAGAGATGTCATTATACGAGGGGCCACGAGCTCTGCAGTTCGTGAACTGGCAAACAGCACGAAGCTGCTTGGGTGGGCCAGGCAGGGGCTGCGACAGAATAAGGAGCCTACCTCTGCGAAAGAAAATCTAATCTAAAATTCCCATGTGTGTGCGTGCTTGAGAAAGACAAATAAAATCCCATGGCAGCAGCAGGAAATGACCTGAGTGAGGCAACTCAGAGGAGTGGCAGACATGCAAGGAAGACTGCGCCTCTGGCTGGGCCGTCACACAGTTCAGATTATGAACTTTCAAGCCACGTCAGCCCCAACACGAGGGGGTTTTTTTACGAGAAAGAAAGAAGGGCGGACCTTACAGCTCCCGACTGATACCTGCTGGTGGCATAACCTCTGGCCACGGCACAGCCCTGCTGCTGCTTTCGATCCTGGGCCTGCTCATGGGAGGCAGGAAAGAGGCAGCAGCACCACACGGCAACTGCTTCGGCCTCAGAGGTGAGGGCCAGAAGAGTTAATGTCACACTCACCCCATGAAACTTAATAAGCCTTAATGTGTTGATACTTCTGGAACACTACAAAGTCGACATGCTGGCCTGTGTGCAGAGGTGAGAACTGAGCCAGGTGGAGCTGTCACGTGTAACAGGAGATTTACTGACTCTAATTACACAGACTGATTTATAGAATTGAGCTTACCAGATTGCACTTGTTTATTTAAAACCTTATTCTGTAGAAGTGCCTTTTAGCCTACCCCAGGGCAGCGAGAGCTGTTTCCAAAGAGGCCTTCCGTGATCAGAAACATCAATTCATAAATAAACGATTGACCTAATGGGGTAAACTGCTTATTGTCTTTCAACCTGCTCACTAACCGCTTCTCAAGCAGACTGGAGGCAGGTCATGTTTAGAAACTCTTCTCTAGGTCTTTTAAACTCCCACTTCAGAACAGAAAGGCAGGTGCTGTTTCATACAGCAACATCACCCACAAGCTAGTGCAGCAAGAAAAGTAAAATAGGAAGTTATCTTTAGGGTTAGTGAAATGCCATCATCTGGTCAACCTTCTGGTCATCAGCAAGGCTACGTCTAACAACTCAGCCAGGGGATTTCTAGTGACCACAAAAATCCCCAGGCTACAATTCGCCCCAAAAGGCACCACTGCATTCCTCAGTCACCACAAGGTGCCAGGACAAGCCTGCAAGGAGACCACTTGTGACAGCAAATCCAAGACAAATTTTCCTCTGTGCTGCCTGGCTTGGCTTAGCTCTTCACCAGCTCTTCACCTATACTTACTTTCATGCATGACAGCCAGCAGATAGCGCCTCTGTTTTAAGTGCTTTAGGTGTGGAAAGAGATTCTGACTTGTCAGGGAGGACAGATGAGTCATGGGCAGCACATTCAGCCTTCTCTCAGTCCTATGGTTGGAAAAGCCCATTTTGGAAACAGTCCGTCACAGGCACTGTTCTTAACTTGGGAGATTCCACACCCGTGTTTGTGTTGTGCCCCGCTTCACCGTTTCTGTGCTCCCCACCTGTGTTTTGCAGGTTCGGGAGCATACAAAACCATTCTAGCAAGCACTGAGTGCTTGAGAGCACGCCATTGCACACCACAGATATTTCCTAGTGTCAGGAAAGATGGGAGAAGGGCAGACGTATTATATCTAACTAGAGAGGCACGGGAAGTAGGAAAACAGATGGAAAACTTCAGAAACACGGCAAGTACATCGATTTGTCAGGTAAAGCTGTGACGCATCATGGGGCTCTAATTATATAGCACAGATCACAACCCAGTCTTCCTAGGAGTTTGCCTTCACACTGTGACGACAGAACTGCACGTTATAAAAGAAAGGCACGAATGGTAAGATTTTCTGGTAAGAAGTGAAGTGTCATTAGATGCTAACCCAGCTGAACTTGGTAAAACAAAAGTAAGACACTCACCAGCATTCATTTCTCTAAACTTCTCTTTGAGATTCAGCGGTGTCAGGCGGTATTGGTCCAGTCCGTCATTCCATTTGATCCTCTCCAACACAAGGAGATCGCCACCAACCAGCCAGTCTCCACTTTCCATCACCATCTGCAAATTATACATACACATGTGCATTAGTGAGGGAATATTTCAAGAGCGCAAAATATCTCCTCTCATCTCATCTTTAATTTCCCAGTCTCCTTTGAAAAGCATTTTCTTTAGGCATGATTCTGCTTATATGGTTATTATCCTTCTGGTTCAGCACACTGTAGACAGAAAACATTGACGTGACAATGTGAAACGTATGCCATGAGCCGTGCTGCCTGGTGTTCTCTTCTGGAGAAGAGAAGATTGAGAGGCGATCTCATCAATGTGTACAAGTATCTGCAGGGGGAGTGTCTAAGAGGATGAGGCCAGCCTCTTCTCCGTGGTGCCCAGCAACAGGACAAGAGGCAACGGGCAGAAACTGAACCACAGGAAGTTCCATCTGAACCTGAGAAAAAACTTCTTCCCTGTGAGGGTGACAGAGCACTGGAACAGGTTGCCCAGAGAGGCTGCGGAGTCTCCTTCCCTGGAGATCTTCAAAAGCCGTCTGGATGTGCTCCTGGGCAATATGCTCTAGGTGACCCTGCTTGAGCAGGGAGGTTGGACTAGATGATCTCCAGAGGTCCCTTCCAACCTAAACGATTCTGTGATTCTGTGATTCTGTGTTAGAGGTGAAAGCAGCAGTGGGGACGGCCATCTTCTCTAAAGTTCAGAGAGGACATGACGCAAGGCAAGGCACGGCTGCTGGAGCAACCCAAAACATTGGGTTCAGAGGATCCCTTCAAACAGCCTCCTGACAAGGCATGATGATGGGGCCTCTGGCAGATTGCAAAGCTGAGAACGTGAGGTGTCTTATCATAGGTGCTGACTGCTGCTGAAGCTAACCCCCAGCAGCACAACCAAATATATGCTACAACCAAACCAGATAAAAACAAACAGCTCTGCTTTGCAACTCCCAGCATGCCCAAAGTGGATTTCAGGCACTGAGTCTAAGGCATCCGCTAATGGGGAAGGACCTGTCTGCCACAGAGAGCATACCACCACCCAGCTGGGCACTGGACTCCACTCTGGAGGCCGGGCGTCTAGAAGTTACAGCACAAGTTCTTTCTTCATCTGACGCTTTACTCTTGCATAGCCTTTCCACACGGCAAGCACCGATCTGGTAGTGCTGCCACCGCTGTCAGCTGGCCACCCTTTATCCCCTCCTATGCTGGAAATGTTATTTTCCTCTTGGAGCACCATTTGGGACTACACAGCCCAGACATGCTAGATTTGCTGGCTCCTCCTCTAGCTGGAATAATCAGGCCTTTTACCCTGTTCAGGACAAACCAGAGCCATTCCTCTGCACTGACCAGCTCAGGATCTTACCACAAAGCTTTATATTAAATCTTTCAATTTGCTTTACTGTGCGGTCACAGTCCTTACGTTTGCTTCAACATCTATCATTAGACTTTCATGACTAACGTGAAACAAGCCTGTTTCAGGAGAGTAACCGCTGTTGAGTACTTATTTTTAAGATAGATGATAGATAGTTTTTTTGAGGTGAGGAACAAGAATTAATATGGCTTTGGCTTTTTTAAAGCAGATATAGATAGTTCAAGTCATTCAGTCTAAGCTGCAGCACACAGTAAATCTTTCACTTAGCAAGAGAAGATGTTCTTTGTACTGCCATAGAGAATAAGTGGGAAAAGATAAGCTGCAAAAAATAAAATAAAAAAAAAAGCCCAACACCCTAAAAACGTTCGGACATTGGTACACTGGTGAAGATAAAACGAATGAAAGGAGCAGCCCCTTTGCAGCGTGCTTGTTTTCCCCTTCAGTCATTCGCTTTGCCTTCACTATGTGACCGAGGCTCTTGGCAGACAGCAAGTACAGCGTTAACAATTGCTTGTGAGCCAAAAAGTTCACCTCTCCTGCACGCTTTGGGAGCGGTGGTGGCTCTGAGAGCAGACAGGACGCTCGATGCCCTGTCCTGAAAAAGGTTCGATTCCTCAGTCCCCTGTGCACATTTCTAATCCTCACCAGCTTTCTGACGGCAGAAAGGGGAAACCTACTTTGACATGCGGGTGTTTCACGCAAGTGGTTCCCCAGATCCGGGCACAGCGCTCTTCCTTCCTGTGTTCAAAGTACTCGGGATTCTTAAGGATCGCGATCTTCTGCCCTTTGTAGGCGAGCGTAAACGCACCACAGCCATCAAGGCGCTGTTTATCCACCGTGGAAATGGGCAGCACAATAGGGATGCTCAAGTTGATAACGCCATCTGGTAAGAGAGGGCCAGATTTTAACCTTCTCTGAAGACCTAAAGCATTGGAAATAATAGCGGCAAATGGCACTTCTGAAAGCTTCCTGACACTACTTTGGCCTGACTACATGAGGGTCGTGGAAGGGGCTGCATGGGGTAGGGTACAGAGCACCACTGGTGCATTGACCAGGCCAGAAGCATGATTCTAGCTCTTCAGCAGACTGACAGCAGAAAGGGAGATGAGCTTCCTAAGGAAAGCTGTAAACAAGGAAACATGTAAAATCACATCTGCACTGGATTCGCGCTGCGCTTGAGGGAAAGGGGCCTTGCAAAGTTTCAGGAGCGACCACAGGCCCTGAGTAAAGCTGAACAGGGTTTTCAGCAGCATAAAGTCTTCTCTTGGGGAATAAGAGGCCCAATTTTCCATGATTAGTTCAGGGATTCACCATCAGTCACATAAATTTATTCACTGCCCAACTTTCTTCTCACCACTAATAAATACTGATGTCAGTGGAGTAAGAAAGCTCCACATCTTAGTCCCAGAGATGCTTCAAAGACACTTGGAATATTTCATTATTCTCTGGACTCTTTGGCTGCTACTGTTCATCTCCCAGAAAGATTTGTTCTTTTCCAATTACCTTTTTTTAAAGTCTCCTTGAAAACTGAAAAACACTTGGAAAATATAATCATGGATATAATCCACATCTCCTTCTCCAAGACAATAATCTCTGTTAAGACCCTTCTGGCTTGATTTTCACCAGTGACCTCTCCCACAACAGCGAATATTCACTGCACTTTCCTGTTTGCACTTCTCCTGAATCAGCTCTTCCAACATGGAAGTAACAAACAGTCATGTTTTGCTTTTCTTTCTTTTTTTTTTTTTTTTCCCCCTTGCTGCCTTTACACATTTACTTTTCTTAGTTTATCCCTGTGGAGTCCATTTTTAATTTATTTTGTGTGCGTGTACAGTCGGTCTATATTTGCATGTGTAGTTTCTTTAAATAACTTGAAGTTATTTTATTCCCCCATTTCCCACCCTGTGACTAAGATCCTCCCCTTTCTCCTTGGACACCCCAATATGAATACACAATAATCAGTTTCCCTTATGGGAGAATCATAAGCAAGAATGAACAAATCACTGATTCATTTTGTGATTCTGATCTGACTGAAATCATTTTGGACCCTTGAGATTCTTAATTTGGTGATTTTACAGTGAGGTAGATTTTTCCATTTTTATTAAAATGTTCATATTTACTTGCAATCCATGACTAGGTATCACTCATCCGCAAGAGAGCCATTTCAAGCACCTTCATGAATAATCAGATACTTAAAAGCATAGTCACCTCTGAGCCAATCGAGTAGAAAACTCCTGAATTTTACGCCATCTCACAGTGCATTAATTTTACAAATGTGTGATAAATCAAATCGCAAAGGTTAGAATGCAGTTATCGGCTTTATACATTTAAATAACATTAACCGGTAATCAGTCAATAAAGTCAGCATGGAAAAACATAGATTATGTAGCCAACAAATGATGCTGTAAGCTGCGGATTTCCATATTCCATTTTCAAATGCAATATGCTGAGCAACAATCACTTCAGTGAAGGTGAATAGTTACAAGATTACACGACTAGGATTATTGTGAGGACTGGTCAATAGGACATGGGGTTAACCGATTGAATCATAAACAGGCAGCAGTTGTTTCTAGTCTTAGAATTTGCATTATTTTAAAATGGCAAAAAATTACTGTACAGGAAAAAAAAATCGAATTGGAATCATTTCCACACAACCTCAAAAACAGTTATATACATACCAACTAGGGAGGCATTCTTTCCTGGGAGAATACAAACACAGTTAAGATAATTAATTCTTGCAAATAACATTTACAGCAACAGTTCCAAGAATCAAAACTGCTCATTTCACACCTCAAGTAAACACTGCACACTTGTAGGCAGGGTGTTTTCTTGCGTGCCCTCAGAACGGGTCCCAGATGTGAACCTCCACAGGATTCAGTACTTTCTCCATAGTCGGGCTTTGACAAAGGCACACGTAGCAGATCTGACAGGCAAAGCACTGTGCCCTCAGCATTTGCTGAAACACCCACCAAGGAGGTGTCCCTGTGGGGCAGCAGAGGTATCACAGGCAAAACCTCAGCTTTCCCCTGAAACGTTCAACCAGTTGAATTAGGACTCTTGTTTTCTGACATAACCTGATCCTTTTGCAGCACAGTGCTTCTCAGGGAGGAAGCAGGGAAGATGGTAGCTACACAGCCTCTGCTTACTGAGATTCAAGTTGGACGAGAAGAAACGCTTCTTCCTTCGGAGGAGGAGCAGCCCTGGAAGAGGTCACCAGGGAGCTGATGGATCTCCATCTTGGGGGTTTCAGGGCTTGGCTGGGCCAATCCACGGCTGCCCTAACCCAGTGCTGGTGACTTCTGCTGTAAGTGGGAGGTGGAGTAGAGACCCCTCAAGGTCCCGTCCACCATTGCTGCGGCAATGATATGTGAAGCACTGATAGATTCACTCCTATCGTGGGTCACTTCTGCCTGTACATGACATAAACATCATACAACAGCACAGATACTTCTTCCCCATGTCCATCATATCGAAGCACCTCAGTCTGGATGGGAAGATGTCCATATGGATAATTTTTTTAATGGTCTTGTACCTAGCGAACTAATAGCAATACCATCGTGTGATTTACTGCTGAGAGCATGGAAAACGTCTGTTCATCACCAGGTGACAGGAACGCTGACTTGTATTACCACAAGCTGAGAGGTGCACCGCTCCACCAAAACAGATTGCAACCGTTCCGGACACAGCTTGCTCCTGCTGAGCGGCCCAGCATCATCCACATTACTGAGGCAGAATGACTGACTCACCGACTTCGGAAAGATCGGTGTCAAACTTCTCTTTGGCAACGTGTCTCCAGGCCAGTACCCATACCCAAGGTAACAGATGCCACCAAACAGAAATTCTTCATGTCTTTTTTAAGAGATAGAGACTGATAGCTTGTCAAGGTAAAGGAGCTGTTCACTTCCTGCCCAAACATGACCCTGTGGGCCTAACCAAGCAGATCCTGAGTTTGGGGAGCTCTGTGGAGACACTGCGTACCGAGGAAAGATGTCAATGCCCTCCTACAGCAAACATTCTGTTCTGGAGGGTTATTGCACCAAAAGCAGGTGCCCGGGCTTTGTCCCTGACCATGCAGGGCTCTACAAATACTGACCAGTGCTTTGAAGCATAGCTGCAGATTTGAGAGGAGCTGTGCTCAGTGAGTCAACAGGTTTGGGAGTTGTTTTGGAAGCTATTATGAAGGTGGGCATACTGCCACTTCTAAGGGAAGGCTCTTTTCTGAGCAGCTGCTGCAGATGCTGGACCTTGTCCCCTCTGCTCCCCGCTTCTGTTGAGTTTGGCACAGTCCCAGTCCTGGTGAGCCTGACCCCCTCCCAACATACACATTTAGGGATGAGCCTCCAGTGCAGAGCACAGAGCTCTGGGGCAACACAGTCACGATGGGACACCTCACAGACTTATCAGGCAGAACAGACAACTCAAAGATGATAGGTCTGGGTCTAATTACAAGGAAATGTACTTTTGAACACTCTTTGCACCCTGAGAAAGTGGTAAAAAGGCTACTGTGTCAGAGAGCGTAGAAGCACTACAGAACCACACACATGGCTACAGTCCAAGAGTAAGCACTCCTGAGCTAAGCACTAGCTTTAGGCGGACTGCATAGCGTCCGAGTCCTAAATGGCCAAGAGCTACTTCTCTGTGTGAGCAGGGCAGAATCAGGATCCTGTAAAAGGAAGACAAGACTCACCACAGGGAGTCTTTCACCAAGATCCCAAACCCCGAAGACTAGACACTGCTCTTAGGTCTACAGACACCAACACATGCGCCCTCACTGTGCGCATGGCTTCAAAGTCACAGCGTCAACATCTACATTTGAGAAATGAGACAGAAATATCTATTGTTCCAGTCTCAGCTGTTCACTGTCATGGCTTGAATATTGTTTGCAATGGCCAGGGATGAAAAGACCTTTATTAAGTTGCTAGTAAATCTCTAAATCTCATTTATTTCAAGTTACAGCAATAAGTAAGCAGGAAAATAGGAAGGAAAAAAAAGAAGTGAAACCAGATTCTGCTCCTGTTTCCAAGGAACAATTCCCCTCTCCTCCCACCAGAAATTCAGTCTGGCATCTCCCTGCTTATTTGGCTTTAGTTTTGCATCTGTATTTACTCTGGTATAACTGAGCATGAAAAGAGTTCCATAAGGGCTGCTCAAACGTTTGAGCAGCATTACGCTGGATATCTAATCTGTGACACAGTGCCTGGCCACAGCACAATGAACTTTGCCACCTTTCATACTCTTTAAAGCATTTCAGGGCATGGCTTCCTTACTCCTTCAGTCCTTTACGAGGCTTTGCATTTAACGTTCAAGAGGAAAGAAGGATTTAAAAAGGGTTGAGCATTAACCTTTTCCATACAACTCACTGCTAGAACACAGTGATTTAAACATCACGTATCACTGTATTTGTGGGTTCCCTGCCAGCGTTAGCACAAAGTGAAGGGAATCGTACCATTCAGTAAGGTGCCAAAATGGATCACTTGCAAGTACTCTGCCTCACGCATGAAGCCGGTCAGCGGAGTGGCCCACCCTTCGCTCAGCACTTGCACCCACTGCAGATCCAGGTGCAAAACAAACCCAAACGGC